GTCACATGGTTGATTACGTTACTGTTGATCATCTGTCCATCATCGTATAAAGCCCGCCCTGACAATTTGATTGGATCGCCAGAGGGTGGGCGATCATACTCGCGTTACTATGGAGCAGAGCCAGACCGAACTTCCCGACATCAAACCTTGTGGGCGGGACTAAGTTCGGAATGGCACCCAGGCTAGTTTCCAGATGGATATGCGCAGCAAATCCATCTGGCAAAGTCAGGTTAGTCTCTTCCACCGTCCCCAGAGGGTCCAGCTTCTTGCCAATCACAGAACCGGCTCGCTTCACCAGTTTGTCCAGTCTGGAGGTGTCCTTCATGGCTGTGCTGCTCCCCCAGCACTCCACGCTGTAGAAGAGTTTTGGGTTCAGAAGTCATTGTTTTAAATGGAAAACCTTTTAGAAAATCTCTGCTTCATAATCAATAGTTTTGTGTTTATTTGGGATAAAAAGATGATATGCTTTCTCCATGCTAAATGGTTGCCTGATCTAAGCTTGTCAAACTATGTAAAACCTAAACATGTCGAGTTTGCATAAAACTACAGCTACTTAACCCAAACCTGTGCACTTTGGTCAGAGGAGATAAAGGTTTAAATGTCAGATAATATTTACTTTAGGTGGATTTGATGATCTGTTCCAGTTATTCTGAGAAACTTGCATTATTAAAAAAGCATTATGATTTCTTTAAAATGGGAAGACATTTAAAATATATAGTTACCTTTCCAGTCAACTGAAATAATTCAAAAATTTAACTACTAAACATATAAGCAATTACACTGCTGATTTTGTAAAAAAAAAAAAAAAAAGAATATCTATAGATGCTGAAAAACACAATTTAAAGAAGCAGAACAAGTAAGTGAGTTCAGAAAGAGTTAAATTATTTACATTTAGTACATTAATTACAAACAACAGAATGTGTTTGTGTAGATTTTCATTCCAAGTCAGGGCCTGACTCATCGTTCTGTCAGCCTGTGTGATTAATCGCATTACATCACAAACGGTATAGTTGCTGTTCCTACACTTATTCAGCTGTGATTATGACACGTGCTGCTTAGGCGTTGGCAAAACAAAGTAAATAATCATACTGATCTACCTTAAAATATCTAGGTCATCCTATTTCTTAAGGATACATATAATTTCATGTTTTTATTAAAAGTATTGTTTTGTAGGCTTTCTTATCTACTGATGTTTCCAGAAATATGTAGGACTTCTAATTAACCTCAGAGTCCAGTTTCTCTTTTTTTTTTCCTCCATTTGTTCTTTCTTTTAATCTGCTGCTTATCTTTCCACAAAGCTTGTAGGGAAAGTGCAAGAATATCAGAGTTGAATTGAGTTACAGTAAACTGTGACGTGAATTGCCTTGGGGGCTTCAGACTTGATAAAGGATGAAAAAGTGCTATTTCCCACAGAATTTTTTAAAAATTATTAATTATTTTGAGCAACAATACAAGCAAGATTCACATTGAGATATTAAGACAGTTTAGTAGAGTTCAAAAGGGGTAGGTAGAATTTCAAGAACTTGTAAGAACCTACCCCCAATAACAATATTCATGTCATGTAACATACAGTATAAGGACTTTTGTTAAAAGGAGACATTACAAATCAAAGCGCAGTCAAACCAACACAGATTTTTTTATTTTGCAAGTAGTTGTACAGAAAAAAAAGAAGATATCTAGTTGTACATATTGAAAGTGTTGCAAATTGTCACGTTTAAATGTTTGGGTCACATGCATGTTTCTTAAAGATAACATGTTTATACATGCTTTTTAAATTTCTTTCTTTTTATTTCCATATCTAACCCATTTCACAACATAACTCCTGCTTGGCTGTGCTCCAGACTTTTAAGTGGGGTGCGAACGTCACATCTTCTCAACACAAATTCTCCTTTCAAATTATAATTCTCTTCTCTACACTGGAAAAAATCAAAATCTAGAAAAGTAATGTTATCTTAAAAAAAGTGCATTTGTTCTTGAATTGAGGAGGTAAAAGAGACAGTTTGCCAATGGAACAAGACAATTTTACACTTAAAATAAGAAAACACAATTGCAATGTCTTATTTCAAGTGCATATTATCTAATTATCTTATTTTAAGAGTAAATATACTCATTCCATTGGCAAACTATCTCATTTACCTACTCAAATAAAGGGTAAATAAACTTAATTTAAGACTTTTTTTACTTGTTTCTAGATCGTTTTACCAGTGTACTGTTAAATATATTTTTTTACACTGCAAAAACCATCTAGAAATAAGTACAAAATTTCTTAAAATAAGTGAATTTACCCTTAATTTTAGTAGGTAAATAAGACGATTTGCCAATGGAATGAGTATTTCTACTCCTAAAATAATACAATTAGATAATATTTACTTGAAATAAGACAAAGCAATTGTTTTTTTCTTATTTTTAGTGTAAATTGTCTTGTTTCATTGGCAAGGTGTCTCACTTATCTCCTCAAATCAAGACAAAATTCACTCAATTTAAGCAAAAATAACCCATACAGATTTCCATTTTTTGCAGTGTATATTGCCAGGAGTCTTGTTTGATATTTTGCTAAATAAATCTAGATTACTTTTATGCGTATTACCCCAAACATCTATGCAATAACTAAAGTATGGAAGAACTAATGAATTGCAGAGGATATGTCGGAATTACTGACATCGACTGTTTTAATAACCTTATACTTCAAAGTTGTGATTTTCCTCCTTCCTTCAGGATTGTGTCAGTCGAGCTTCCATCTGGTGCTCGTAAGTTTGGGGTGCAGTTCCGCTGGTGGCAGCCATACCATTCGGGACGTGGCCACGATGTTTGGGCTTTGGATGAAATCAGCATGACCTCTGTTCTCTTCAACACCATCAGTCTTGACTTCAGCAACGTGCTTGATGTCACTCAGAGTCTGGGCTTTTATCTTGGCAATGTGCAGCCATACTGCCAGCATGACTGGACTCTCAGGTATTTAGTATAAATTCTCATACACCAAACGTATGTTATTATATGGAAATAGTGTTCAACAATAATAAAATGCTGATTCATATTCTCATTTTCCCTGTTTGTTTATATAATTTGTCAGTTTCTCCGGTGAGCCTAGTCCTGGCTTTAGCATCCGTTATGTGGAAACGCAGTCAATGCAAATCGGCGCCTCCTACAGTCTGCAGTTCTCCTTGGTGATGGGTTGTGGCCGTGAGCCGTCACCTCACATCGACACCCAGGTCCGTCTGGAGTTCTCCACCAATCACGGCCTCACCTGGCACCTGGTCAAGGAGGTAAGTGCTTATTTACATCACACTAGCAAGAACTTCCCACCATCACACTGCATACAGTAGAGACAGGGATGCAAATCATTTATTCATGATTATGAATATTGATTTTTTTTTTTTTCATTACAGCCTCAGAGATAATATGTAAATAATGAGCCTAATTGGCATTTTGTTTTAAATGACAAATCATCACAATTAGTTTTAATCACTTTGCTATCAGCAAATACATAGCGATACTTGAATGGGCCGGCAGATTATCTTCCCAGGATTCAACGAGGATTTTCTGTAATTATAACGGCCTCATAAATATTCAAAGGGGGCAAAAGTATCTGCTGTGATTTTTTTTATTGCTTTTGGAACTTAGACCATAATGACTTTCTCTTCTTCATCACTGGCTTTCATTCTCTTGTCTGCATGAAGATCTATTCATCTTGCAAGTACAGATTGTAACTCACTAAGTGCTTTGTTGAGTTAATCCATGCTGATCTTTCAGTGCTCAAGGTCAACTATACTGTAATTCAGCAAGATCTTTTTATTCCCATATAAGACTGCAGGAAACCTTTTATGCATGATGCTGTTTTTGAGAATCTTTCAGAAATTCTTAGTTTGCAGTGTGCCAATATAACCCCTCTGGTAAATATATCAAACAAATCTAAAAATGTACTTTCTTTTTTTCTTAGGCCTGTCTACCTGGCATGCCGAGCTGTTCGGAGTTTACAGCTCCCAGTGTCTACCATCCCTCAGAGTTCAAAGACTGGAGACGTGTTACGCTTTCTTTGCCTCAGAAGACGTGGTAAGTACTATTCACAAAAACAGAGGAAAAGACTCGCTGCCCTTTGGGATTAAACGTTCTCTGATCTTGATTTTGCCATGTTTTTGTTTTTTGTTTTTTTGTGTGTGTGAATAAAAAGCACAGGGAGGTTTGAAACCAGTCAGGTCAATTAAAGAAACCACGCATGGAATAAAAAGATCTGCATTTTCTGTTATTAGTGGCTGCAGGTCTTAATAAAAATGCACAATCATCCTATATCTACTCCAAATACTTATTCACATTAAAATATTATATCCCTTTAACTTTTACAATAAAAACCTCAAAGTAAAACTTTCAATATGTATTATATGTAGTTTTGTTAAAGCTACAGTGTGTAATAATTACAGGGATATACAGTCAGAAATTTAATATATTATACATAACTATGTTATTTATCATCATCTACGAGCTCAGCCTCTTAACCTTAATATTTGCGTTGCCTTAGAATTCGTTATTTAT